ACACTTTGGAGGCTTCGGCTGAAGGGGTTAGTAATCGGATCGTCTCAAATTAGATAGATGGGTGGGGGATCGGGGAACGTACCGGATCAGTTAGGAGCGATCAATGCGCGTGGCAATGGCGTCAGTCCGCTGAAGCGGTCTTAACTGTAAAATCCCACCATTGAGTCAGCATTCAGCAGAGGCATCAGCAACAGCGGCAGCACCACAAGCAGCGACAGTGGCAGCCGCCAACAAATTTATGAATGAAACCAGTCGAAACGTTGAGAGTCGCCGCACAAGTGCTGCGACACTATACTACCCCGTACTTAGATTGTATGTATGCAATGGATTATGCAACTTATCGATATACATATGTATATCTTCACACCTTCATTCTATTTCTACTTAATGCCAAATAAATTCAAACTATTTCCATTCGGTTATATGTATGTATTTCGTTCACTTCGCCAGAAGGCGCAATTCGAAGTGCCACGAGATCTTTCTCCTTATAAACTCAATTGTACATACGGAGCCTAATATACCCCTTTACTCTTTGGGTACCGGGTATAAAAAGACTTTGCTCCGCGAGCCGAACCTGTTCTCTCACTGGCCTCGTGCCCTCAAACACTTCACTCAATCCACCAGCCGCTCTCTTACACTCTTTCACTCAACCGATGTACGCTCTCGCCGAGCGTGCGAGAGGCTCACGGATTGGTCGAACCTGTTCGTGTCGGTCAATTGGCCCAGAGCCAATCGTTACACCACACACATATACACAATCCCCAACCCACGTCCGCTCACACACGCACTCGGATGTACGGTGGCCCGAATATATGCTCTGGGAGAGCTCGGTGCACCGCCCCTTTGGGCTCCCCGCCAGCAGACTACAGACTCGGATTATGGGCTTCACAACTGACAGTGCTCTTCTTTTGAGTGTTTTCCTGGGAAGTGGAGCTAGGCCCCAGATCAGTTAAAGAGCGCTCCTTAAAAAGGCCCTTCCATCAGTTTCCATCTGGAGCATTGATAGACTTAATTGGAGGCTGTATGTAGGTGGGATGTTAAGTAGTCTCTCTGGACGATGTGATAACTTAATGCTCGCCTGGGGTCTCTTACAAGAAATTTCTATACATATAGATACCTACGATGAATGAAGACACCTCTGGTACACACTGCCCGCGCGGGGATAAGGTAACTTGGTAGAAATTAGAACGTACTTTTACGCTGGGGACCTCCTACTCTGTTCCCAGTCTGTCTGACCCTGTAGAGATCAGAGTACATATGTATCTTGGCCACGTCCCGGTTGATTCCCGAGCGCGTGCCCAGTCAGGGCGCCTATGTACATACATAAGTATTGATCAATTGTTGTATAGTGAACGGCATAAATAAAACTGTATTTCTGCTCCCTGCCGGTTTAACAAATGTACCCTCCTTGCCGAAAAAATGGTACTGTTCCTCAATATATACATACATATGTATACATATATATGTATATACTTAAATCTATGAAGATACATTCTTAGAGGGCATGTGACTTTTATAGCACGAAAAATTGTAGAATGATTAAAGATTTCAAGTTTCATTCTTGAAAACCTATTTTGGGCAGTTTATAGGTTCTTAGTTTTGAACTAAAAATTGCTGTGATGTTCAGAAATATGGATCTATTTTTAAAACGATCATACTTGTGTATAAGTTTGAATGATTTCAGGATTCCTTTCCCAAAGATCATTTTCCTCCCTACACTGTTGTCCTAATAAAGCCCATAACGAATGGAAATTGCATGGGTATTTTGGTAGTACGGTCGGCAGCAATGAAAGGATAAAGGAGTACGGAAAACAAACAAGCAAATAAACGACCGAACAAATCGACTAACTAACCGTTCGCCTAAGAAAAGATATGAAACACAGGGACTTACAGGGGGAATCATGATAAAGCGAACAATTTTACGCATAATCAAAAAACATCACAACAACTTACCCTGAAAAAACTAACACCTCGCACTCCTACTCGTCCACTGAGTCAACGCTGCCGTGTTGCACACACCCACAAAAACAATGCAATTGGAAGGCAGGGTAGGGGGCAGAGGTAAAGGGACAGGAGCTAAGCAGCATGTAATGATTCCAACTGAGAGTCGGCCGTAGCGATGCTCGTTGCCCGAGGTCGAGCCTAAGACCGAGATCGAGACTGAGGTGTTCGTTGTGGCAATTAAAGCGTACCCTTAGCATTCGATACGCCGCTAAAAAATTACACCATGACAAGACACAATGCATTCAGAGAGAGAAAGAGAGAGATAGAGAGATCGCAGACCTTACCGAACAACTCAATTTTGTAGCAAAATATTTTTGTTGTCCAGAACGAATCGCAAGTAAAACAGAAAGGACATCCTGCGGTGCTCTCCGTGTTCTCTGCGTCTTCTCTGTGTGTGTGAGTGTGTTCCGACAGGAGCAGCAGGAGCTCATCAATGCAATAATCATGTCCATCGATAGAGACACGATACCCTCTGACCAAACTCATACCCACAGCCCTACCTACACCCCATTCCCAACAACATTCCCGGATGAAGTTATTTCTTTGGGTGCGAATTTTTTCTGTTTGTGCTGCCGCCCCGACCGAAGCAGTTCCCAAAGGACATAGGCACACAAAAGGTGGCTGCCACCTTGATATATGCGTTTCCCTCGCTGTGAGTCCTGTGGGTCCTGTCCGGGCTCTGCGCCGGTGGCGCGCGGCGAAATCAAGGCGAGTGGCCCCGCTGCGAGATACGGCTGCTTCCTTCTGCCAGCGTTTCCACTTACGGTTAGACGCAAAGCCAATCCATTCCTCCGTCTGATATCTGCTACGAGTATCTTCGAGGTCTCTTCGCCTCAACTTCAGCCTCAGATTTAGCCAACAGCTGTTCGAGCCTAGGAGAATGTTGCCATAATTCCGTGCTGCCATCCAACAAAGCGGGAAAACTCAATTTAATTAGCCCGTCAATTGTTTAAGCCAGGGGCGGGGTAGGGGGAGGCGGAGTGATGCGAGTCCGGAGTCTGACAACCCATAAATGACCCTCATACCTAGTCACCAGCTGTTCAACAATTCTGGCTCTGATAGAGCGGTGGCATTCTCTGTAAAGTTTCTGGCCAAGGCAGCCAGGAGAACAGTCTTAAAGGTATTTCTCGATTCGGTCAAGACAAAAGTCGAGGAGTATCAGTGTTACCAAATAAAGAGTACAACTGAAGTGTTCTCGAAACTTCTTAATTTATTGAACACTTCTATAAAAGACTGAAATTCCTTGATAGTTTTGATTAGTTTAGTTTAGATATTAGAGAGATTTTTATAAGAAATTATCTATAAAAGACGAATAATCTTTTCTCTAGAAGTATAGAATTTTGATTGGTTGGTATAAAAGCGATATCGCATGGAAATTACTTCTCTGATTTGTATGCTACTACATATGTATATGTACACATATGGGGGCTCTTTTTTTTTTAGCACGAATAGGAAGTATATCTGTTGAAGCGCGGTTTTTATAGATTTGAAGACAAATTATGTGCCGTAAAGTTGTAGAATATTTTGGGTCATATTCTCCACTGCTTCCTTTTCAAATTCGGTCATTTTCAGGACTCTTAACGGGCAGCGGTGTGAAAGAGATATATGTATAAACAGATCCTTTGGGGAAGGCACAGAATATGCAGCAGGTAGGCCTTTCCCTCTCCCGCTCTCTTTGAGTGAGTGGCCGTGGCCCGGATTGGGCGAGTAGGAAAACTGAGTAGTAATGGCGACAATATGGCCAGCAAAAGAGAATGCAGACAGGCGGCGGGAAAGGGACAGAGCGAGCGAACTAGTGATCAGGTAGACACAAATGCATACACAGCAACGGACAATCGTGCAGGTGGGGACCACAGGCAGGCCGAGCCAGAGGATCTTTCGATCTCAGATCTTAGCCAGGCAGAGCGACAGAGACACAACAACAGCATACCGTTCGTTTTTCTTTTTGTCCATTTTTCACATAAACACCAACTGCGACGCCGACAGAGCTATCGACGTCGACTGAGCGCTCAGTTCGCTTCAGTTTCAAATTCAGTTTCAGTTTCGGTCTTTTGGAGTTGGTCGAAGCTGTCTTCGAAGCGGCCCCAGCCGCAGCAGCAGCCTCTGCCTCTCAACAAAGAAAGCTGGTCGAATTCAGCTCAACTTTGGGTTCAGTTCGGTTTCATACTCGGACGTGATCAGAAGTGTCCGCGAAGTGATCAGATGCTCATCAGCTGCAGCTGTCAAGAAACAGTCCCAGAACAAGACACCGACTCCATCCTCCACAGCAGTGGTGTGTGAGATTAATTTTTTTAAGTGTTGTGTTGCAAGTGCCAGTGCTCCCCACGTTGAAAACGATTACCAGCGGATTTTGATTTTAGAACGGAGCACATTTACCAGGGATCCACGGGAATCCTTACTGAAAAAAACTTTTCAACTATAATGCGGTGTGTGTATTTTTTTCTGATTTCATCAATAATTCAAACTATGTTTATCAATTAATTGGCAACAAGAATATATTAGTTTAGACAGATTTCTTCAAAACTATAGAAGAGTTTAAATTTACATTTTATTAAACTGCAACACAATGCGAATTAATAATAATCCGATTTTACTGGGTATTTTTTTGCGATGTTTTTCTTATTATAATTCAGCAAATACTAAAGGACCAATCAGTTGAATAAAAAGGCAATTTGAGAAATATTGAACATTATTTCGGACAGACTGGAAAATATATTGGGAAAAAACTGTTTTGAAATGTGTTCAATAAAAATAAATGGTGGGATTTTGTTTCCTTGCTTCCCGCCAGCGAGCTTCCTTATCGTTTGGTCATCGCTCTGTTTTTCGCTACAGGTCCCCATTCTCCGATCTCCCGATCAGGCTCCTCTCGATTTAGTTGTCTAAATTAACCAGTTTGCCCCTATTCTCGACCAGATTTCGCCCTGGAAAAGCTAACAAATCCATAAAAGGCGCCAAAAATTTAAAATAATAAAGAAAATGTCAAAAAAGCCGAACAAAATTCTTAACGTTCTCGAAAGGTTGCATTTGCACTTCCCCTGAAGGAAGCCCATTCTGGAAGGATTTTTGTAGTCGGAATAGGACTCGAATCGGAGTCGAACGCAGATCGCCGATGGCTGATCGTCAGCTGGGCGCTCAGGCCCTGGCTGAAGTTTATTGCATTCCCGAAACTCATTTTGCGTATTTTTTCTTTTCCTCCCGCTCTCACCTAATCCCTCCATCGTGCTGCCTGCCAACGATCGATACGGACACGAACACGGACCTAATCACAATAACGGATTCGGATCCATCCACAGTTGGTTGGCAGTGCGCTGCAACCACAGCTAAGGACATCACGACGGCCCGGAACGGGAACTGGAAAAGCAACGGACCCAGGACGAGGATCGGAGTCCATCGAAGTCCAAGAGCCGTGCGGCAGGACAATGCGGATATGTGCTCCCAACTGCCGCACTTTATCTCCCTGCTCCTCCTTCTTGCGCTCAACGTGCTCCTCGCGGCACCCGCCCACACCATGGCGATGCAGACGGACAGCGGCGGCCTCACGGTGATCGATGCCACCCGTCTCCGCACCACCACCACCAGCAGCATGGCCCCTCCCAGCCTCAGTCTCAGTCCCAACCTCAGTTCCACCTCCGTGGGTTCTGGCTCATCCGGCTTTTCCTCGCCGCAGCGCAAGCGGCACAGAAAGAGGAATAGTAATTGGATTGATTATCGAAACTTCAACGAGAGCACCACGGCTCTGGAGTGGGTCAACCCCTGCGGAGGATCCTACCATCCCTCGGCTGGGGATCGCTTTAGCCGCCTACGACCCAGGCAGGTGAGTTAGTAGTCAAGATTATCCCCTTGCATTCCCAGCTAATACATTATTCTCCTTTTCTCTCCTCTCTTTTTTGCGTAGAGCTTCAATCAGCTGAAGCGCCACGCCTTCCGGGAGTACCGTGGACTCAACAGCAGCCAGGACTCGGTGATCGATATCCGGAACATGACCATGTGGTCGCTGCACACACAAAACTACAAGTTCCTGCCCAAGCTCAAGTCCAACTCCACGGTAAGTCAGTTTTGTGGTGTCCATTCTGCAGAATCTAGTGTTCAATCTGTCCCCTAGCTCCTTCTCTAGCTGTGACCATCTGTGACTGACGCTCTACTTTTGCTTTCTCTTTCTTTCATGCAGATTGCCCTGAAGCGATGGTACCGTAACATGCAAACGTACGTGGCCAGCTTCGCCTATCTGCGGCGACTCCAGATCCGCTGGGACCAGCGCTTTATAACCCGCGAATCCACCACTGCACGGGAGCTAAGGGAGCTGCTCCTCAGCTCCCGGCGCATTCTCTGCGAGCTAGAGACGGCCGTGAATCAGACTAGCCCCCGTCGGAAGCATCGGCGCAGTAGCCCCAATGGATCCATATCCATTGGCGTGCAGCTGCCGCAAATCTCACGGACTGAGATGAACAAGCGCCTTAAACTGCGCAGCAAGGGCGCTGGGGGTCCTGGGCCCATTTCAGGAGCCATCACCGGTTCCATGAAAACAGCCAACGAGGCGGACTCTATTGACATGCGGTTCGTGAAGCACCACTACTACGAGTTCCTGCGCACCATGTGGCAGCTGCTCAGGCGCGACGGCAAGCGAGAGAAGAAACGTCCCCACCGGCCCCACCAGAAGCAGCAGCCCCGTAAACAGCAGAGGGAGCTCCAGAGCCAAGCCAGTAGACAGCAGCCTGCAAGTCGCAGTTTCAGCCAATCATGGACTGGAACCAGTTCCACCCCCAATTCAAACTTCAATAGCAGGGACTTCAACGAAGTCTCCAAGCCTACGATGGAGTCCGAGTCCACTAGCAGCACCAGCACCGGCAGCGCCAGCATTGGAGGCAGACGCGGTAAACGGCAGTCGGCGACAGCAGGCAGACAGCAGACGCAGCGACGCGTGCAGCGCACGTGAAGCATACCCATACCCCGATACCAATCCTCCAATTAAACACCATTTCAAACTTCGACCACAACCGAAATCTATAGATGGTATAGTATAGTAAAGTATTTGAATGTCATCCTATGGCACTCTACCTCTTTTCTTCATCGCGAACTGCCCGAACTGTATTGAGCATCCGACCATACCATTCCGAAAATATTGTATACATCATCGTTGAATATTTAGTGAAGCAATAACGGAAACCAGAATTGCAGCTTAATTTGAGGACTTTTCGAAGTTCGTAGCAGTTCGTAGGAGAAGTACCATAGGAAACATACCGCAGTTGCCGTTCTAGTCACAAAGGAGCAACCGCTAGATCCCTAACCCCCAGAGAGCCTCTCCTCATTGAGATCTTTTTCGGCATCCTAACTGGAAAGTATTATTTGACTCTATTTATAATTGCATTATTTGTGGCATCGTTCTAAGCTCTAAATTATGTAACCCCGTAGATTATAAGGCGATATAATATACATATATATATGTATGCATATATAGTGAAAGGTTTAGGCATAAAGTTTTAGAAGAGAGGCATAGATATATGGAACCATTTTTTTTTGGTAGCTAAGTTTGTGTGACATCTGTGATATAGTCGTGAGTGTTGATAGTACGCATTTTGCTTAACTAGTTCTTATTTGCCTTCATCCCCCCATTATCTTAACTCTTTCCTTATTGTATATATAAATAGATCTTATATACGTATGTTTCGTAAGTAAGTACATACTGAAATCGATTTTCATATTTATAGAACAGCTCCACCTCCCTGCTATGACTAAGCTTGCAGCGTAATAAATCGATCAATAAAACGAATGAAATCTGAACTTAAAGAATAACTCTTTGATTGGGAAATGGGAAATAGGTTTACTGAAGATTTCAATACCACAGCTGAAGGACGATGATCGCCTCGGTATTGATGAATGAGTTTACTTGCCAAGCTCACTGCAAACATGAAAGTTTTCGTGGAAAACTTGATCATACAATACTTGATCGTACTATATTAGTCAAGGGATATATGGTATTGGTGTGGCTGGTTGATATTTCCCCTTTTAATCGTTCCTAGAAGGCACAAGCAAGTAATTTTAATCACCTATATCTCTGGATCCTGGCCAGTGTCTACTTCTGCTGCTTACTGCTATAAATATATATTTTTCTTCAAGTGAATTTTAATATAATAGAATAATTAATAATTTGCATCTCATTTATATCAACTCGATCATTTTACACGAAAATTCTTTAGTTGTTGACGCTAATAAATACATATGAGGTATGTGTTCCGTCAGATGTCCAGCTGAGATCGTTTTTACCTATGGCTTTGCTTCTTGGTCGCCTTTGGAACTGACTTTTATGATAACCAGCGGCGCCGTTAAAATATTAGCACTTCAAACTATGCTCCCTTCTGGGATCTTTATATCCAGCAGCCATAGCACGCGAAATGCCAAAGAGCATCTGCTCCGAGCCCCACCACCTGTTTACCTGGCAGCCTTGCCACTCTTCCACTCTACTATCAGCTGCAGTTAGTCAATGAATATGGTGTTGGCATTGCGCTGATCAAACTTTTGCCCAACTGTGGCAACTGGCACCATTGTCATTAACGTCAGCATCATCATCAGCGAGTCTTAGGCTAATCAATGAGGATGAGCAGCTGCTTATCCCTAGGGTTAACTAAAACACGGCTACGGCTACAGCTACACTTGTCACAAGTCGCATTCCGAGTCCCAGTTTGAATTCAAGTTCGGTGGCAGTTAAGTCCCCGCTTTGTTTTAAGCGGATTTAGGCAAATTTACTTTATAATGCCTTGGCTTATTGCCAAGCTCCGGTTAGGGCGCTCAGTGGCAACCTATAGCCAGGCTAGTCGGATTACTTGGCTCAGCTCAAACGGAAGCAGTCTGTACACTGTACTGTATTCTGTCCGTTGTCCATGGTTTACTGTGGAGTGGACGGTCCTGTCCCTCGGTTTTCCGTATGCTGTTGACATGCCAATGGATTAGCACGGACCCGTAGTGCAAAAACATTTCTCGAATATTATAATGCCGCCTAAGCCGTTTATTGATTGCAATCGATCTAAAGGAAGTTCAACTCTCCTTCTGGCTCTGTCGCTGGCTCACGGTTTGTGTCGGTCTGGGTGTTGTCTGGCTTAGAGAGTCTAAGCTAAATCTGACCTGCCAGAAAAGGCCTTGCCCAGGTTTCAGGCTCTGGCTCTGTCTCTGTCTAGTGTCAAGTGTCCCCTTCCTGGTTTGGTACCGAGATCTGGACATGGACCGTGGGCTGCCATACCTTTGAGCCCTTTTGGGTAAGTAGGTGTTGTTATATTTTTAGCTGTCATAAATACTGTAAAACTTGGTAAATATTTAAACAGCGTTCACAATAAAGGCAAATGCCAAGAGGCTCGATATTCAAGTTGTTCGATGTTCGGGTTCGGTATTTGGGTTCGGACTTCTCTACTCGCCGTTCTCCAGCGTTCGGCCATCTATTGTTTAGGCCTGGTCATAACGGTGGTTGCCATAGTGGTAACACACAGGCCTCTTTCGGAGTGTGTTCTGTGTGTGAGATTGTCCTGCATCTTCTACCTGTCTTATACCTCTCCTTTCCATTCTTCGTCTGGGCTGCAATTTGAATATGTGTCGGATCTTGGAATGGCCGAAAGATTAACAACATTTAATAACCCATCATTTCGTCGGATCTCTCGTGCGCTTCGTAAGATCTACCTTTGTGTGCGTGGACGTGAACGGTTTTCGCAAGATAACTGCATTTTGTATCTTTATTCTGTGCCATTTTTTGCCATTGTCTGGCCATTTGCGCTCCTTTCTTTCTTTTTATTTCACAAATTCCCAATCTTTTTTGTTTTTTATTATCCTTCCTGTGCTTCTTGGAATCCCGTGCTCTCTCCAGCCTGTGGTCGTCCTGCGCCTCGCCGCTGTGCCCTGCTTAGAACAGAGTCTGCCTGTGCTGTATATTAACGGGATATTATCTGTATCTGTTTCCTTTATTTTACCCGATCGAGCGACTGTCAAGTGGGAACTCAATTACGGAGTTACTTTACACAGCTCATCGGTTCGATTACGTTCGATTACCCAATGATGATCAATAAGAGTCGCCAGCGACTGGATCATTGAAGGCTAGGATATCTAAACTAGCTTTGCTTTCAATTAATTTCAATCAAAATAACTATTGTTTTATCCATGTAGTAGCAAAAGTTAATGAAATCATTAGCTATGAATAAGCTTGGGCTATCTTTCCATTCGATCAGAAACAATCCCTACGGATTGATGATCTAAACTAATTTTAACGTTTGATTCAATTGCGGGGCATTTAAATTATCTTTCAATTAGCTTCCTTTTAAACGTATTCATAATTGGTATGCATTTATATATAAGGGCTGGCATCAATTAGCGCGACACGCGACACGACATTTGTCAATCTTCATTTCGGTTCGATTTTCATTCACACTGCTCTTAATTGATAATAATTTGCTCTGCCCTTTGCCAGGCCTGATTTCCGTTGCCATTTCTCATTCTAACTCCAGTTCCACTTCCACTCCCACTGCCATTTTAATGTCTTGCTCGCTCAACATCCCATCACACATTCCATTAAATACGAGTAGCTCTCAGCCGAGGAAATTCGAGCACAGCAGCTCAATTGATTTATCAAATTGCGCGTGTGATCCAATTTGCCTATGCAAACACATCAGTGATTGCTGTTGTTCCCGCTGGTGCTGTTTCGGCTTTTTATTACACCCGATACTCAAAATGAGTAAAGGGGTATATTAGATTTTTGGTGAAAATGGATGTGTGTAACGTCCCGAAGGAAGCGTCTCCGACCCCATGAAGTATATGTATATATTCTTGATCAGCATCAATTGCCATTGATTGAGCTATGCCTGTCCGTCCGTCTGTACGTCCCTATGAGTGAATAGTGCAACGAGACTATAAGATCTAGAGCAACGACATGTATGTATGTATCCACACTTCTGTGATATGTCACTGCTCGAAGTGTATTTCAAAATTTTGCCCCGCTCCCATCCGGCCCTACCAAGGACGAAAATCGGTGGCATCCACAATTTTACAGATACGAGAAAATCAAGAACGCAGAATCGTAGAGAAATACTATATCTTATAGACTGCAGAATCTGAACCAGATCGAATCCAAACTTGGTATTCACACTCCTGTGATATCGAAAAACATCGATATCGTGATATCGAGTAAAACATCAATTTGCAGTGGCTACGCAGCGCCCGATACGTTCTGACTTCTCTCTGTCTCTGTCTCTTGTCGTTCAATGTTAGCGCCGTCTGCCGGAGGATAGTCATATTGACTAAGTACCGGGTAAAATGTAGAGTTGCGGTCGCAGCAGGAACTCACAACGTTCCCCCTCGTTACTTAAATTTTTTGCTGTGGTTATTATTTGTTATTATTTATATTGACGTATCGATAGCACCGGGCGGCGCTTTGTCTAGGGCTCTGGTTCGGCCGGCTCCCACACGGATTCAATGGCTATGGTTATTTACACGATAAGTGCCTGATCTCTTCTTTGAAGATTGAAAGCAGCCGACGAGATTATGAGCATGGATGTTAGATGGGAAATGATTTAAGCTTATCAGCAGCCGCCACGGCGCGACAGAACCAAAACAAACAACACATCTATGGCCGGGCTATTGCGAACCTAATATCTCGGATTTCTAAGATAATATAAATAGATACTTGTGCTGCCAACGATAATTCCATTTGCAGTTCCGATAAAACCAATCAAATATGGGAGCTATTCAAAATGAATTGTGCTTAATTTACTGAAAAATACATATGTAACATATGTAATTATTTGGAGAGTGCGGTAAGTACTTTGATCGAGCCTCTCTGCTCATTTTTTTGTGCGTGTTCTACTTGAAATTAGCAAATCAGTTTTTTCCGCTGCCGCTGTTGCTGCCACTGGTACGGCTGCTGTCGTTTTTCGTGGAGCGTCTTAATTATATAATTTGTGAGCTTGTCGGTGGGACATATCTTGTTTTTATTAGCATACATTTTAATGAGCATTTATGTAATCTCATAGAGTGCGGCTACATAAATCTCGCCAGCGGGTTCTCAGACATTCAAAAGCAGCGGTCTGGTCTGCG